TGCGGCCTGCTTGCAGAAATTTGGAAGAAAGTTGGCAAAATTAAAGACGAATGCTTGAAGAACAATCGCGGTTTCTTTATGGATTAGCTGCGGCGCAGTGGCCGCATTCTCGCGGACTTTCCGCGAGAATATGCAAAAATTTCGAGGGCCGCACGTTCCTTTGTGGAGGACCGCGCAACCCCCAGGTACTTTCCGCTGAGAGAAAGTACCTCAAACTTGAGTAATTAAACCAACGGTGACACCTCTGCCACACAGAGTCTTACCTGCGCTCGACGTACGCCCGAAAATACCTAAAAAGAGTCCGAGCGCTTGCTGAAAGTTTGGCCAGCGCTCGCTGGAAGATATTATTTGACGAGCGCTCGCAGAAAATTCTGTATTGCTGCCCGCTGGCAGAACGCGGAAGTACCGCCCGCTGAAGGTTTGGCCACGCCCCAAAATTCTGCTGACCGCCTGCAGAAAAGCGCGAGTTTGCGGACCGCCTGCCCCCGGCGATTATCTGAGCAGACACATACACACAAAAAGACGTAAACAACCTTTAGCCCGTTATTATAAGTATATTATGTTTCACTATGCGATACTGTACTACCATACTTCAATGCAAAATACTGCACTACAGTACACTACACTACGCTGTACCATATTTATACGCACATACTCTCAGATAATCGCCGGGGGCAGGCGGCCATGCGAATTTTGAGCAAGCGCGCACCGGAAAAATAGTTCGTTGATTTTTTGCCGCCCGCTTGCAGAAATTTGAAAGAAAATTGGCGAAATCAAAGACGAATGCTTGAAGAACTATCGCGGTTTCTTTATGGATTAGCTGCGGCGCAGTGGCCGCATTCTCGCGGACTTTCCGCGAGAATATGCAAAATTTTCGGGGGCCGCACGGTCCTTTGTGGAGGACCGCGCAATTTCCAGGTACTTTTCGCTGGGAGAAAGTACCCCAAACTTGAGTAATTAAACCAACGGTGACACTTCTGCCACACAGAGTCTTACCTGCGCTCGACGTACCTCCGAAAAATGCCTAAAAAGAGCCCGAGCGCTTGCTGAAAGTTTGGCCAGCGCTCGCTGAAAGAAATTATCTGCCGAGCGCTTGCAGAAAATGCTGTATTTTTGCCCGCTGGCAGAATATGCGACCGTAAAGGAAGTGCCGCCCCTTAAGATTTGGCCACGCCCCAAAATTCTGCTGACCGCCTGCAGAAAAGCGCGAGTTTGCGGACCGCCTGCCCCCCGCGATTATCTGAGGGCGATTATCTGAGCAGACACATACACACAAAAAGACGTAAACAACCTTTAGCCCGTTATTATAAGTATATTATGTTTCACTATGCGATACTGTACTACCATACTTCAATGCAAAATACTGCACTACAGTACACTACACTACGCTGTACCATATTTATACGCACATACTCTCAGATAACCGCCGGGGGCAGGCGGCCATGCGAATTTTGAGCAAGCGCGCACCGGAAAAATAGTTCGTTGATTTTTTGCCGCCCGCTTGCAGAAATTTGGAAGAAAGTTGGCGAAATTAAAGACGAATGCTTGAAGAACAATCGCGGTTTCTTTATGGATTAGCTGCGGCGCAGTGGCCGCATTCTCGCGGACTTTCCGCGAGAATATGCAAAATTTTCGAGGGCCGCACGGTCCTTTGTGGAGGACCGCGCAGCCCTCAGGTACTTTCCGCTGAAAGAAAGTACCTCAAACTTGAATAATCAAACCATCGATGACACCTCTGCCATGTAGAGTCTCACCTTCGCTCGGCGTACGCCCGAAAATGCTTAAGCACCGTCCGAGCGCCAGCTAAAATTTTGACCAGCGCTCGCTGAAAGAGATTATTTGTCGAGCGCCTGCAGAAAATTCTGTGTTGCTGCCCGCTGGTAGAACATTAGACAGTAAAGGAAGTGCCGCCCGCTGAAGGTTTGGCCACGCCCCAAAATTCTGCTGAGCGCCTGCAGAAAAACGCGAGTTTGCGGACCGCCTGCCCCCGGCGATTGTCTGAGCTATAGACCAGTGGGAATTGCATTGGGGATCTGTGAGAAGAAAGAATAAGAAAATTTCAAAAGTAGCCTACATGAGTTGTAAGATTGTGCAAGAGACTTCTTTTTACTCGTGAAAAATCGAACCTATCTCCAAAATTTTTCCAAATTTGAATCAGCTTTCTGAAATTAAATTCCCCTCTCTTTTGGGCCAATACTCCGGGATAGAAGCCCGTAAAAATTGGGATACATCCAAAAAATTTTCAGGAGGAAAGGCATAATTGACTCCCGTCCTTTAACTCTAAAAAAAATCTCTGTCATGTCCTTAAAAAATCTAGACCGTCAACATATTAGGTTCTTACATAAGTTTTGTTCATTTTCTACGCCTTCCTTTGGAAAACTTTAGAAAATTCGGCAAGATCTCATATTTGTATATGGGGAAGGGATGAAGGATATCTGCTGGCATCATTTATGCCCTCACCACATGATTTACAGTAAATATAATGGCAAACTCTATAAAGGCAACTTACGGTAAATATAATGGCAACCTTTATAGAGGCACTCCAACCTCCATTTTCTTCTTCTTATATATAAAGCTGAATGTCTGTTTGTCTGTATGTTATGTCTCTCTGTATGTGTGTACGAAAGTTCCGAATAGAAAATTTCATTTCTGAACGGATCCGGACCAAACTTGGCACACATACACTTCGGGGCCGGGCGGGTGTCATAGGCTACTTTTCGTTATCGATCAATATCGTTTTTATAGATTTTTCTCGATTTTTTGCAGATTCACCTACGGGGCTGGGAGTTGGCAAGGGGGGTAATCGAGCATGCTGATTACCAAAACAACGAGAATAGTGAATTGGCATGTACGCGTGGGCGCAGGGAAAGGTTGTACTGGGATAGGGATGAGAGCTTCATCATAGTGTTTTGACAGGGCCGAGCGGAGCCGCGTAAACCGCTAGTTATTTTTTTAAAAAACCTCTTATCCTTCTTTTTCAACTTCTTAGAATTTTTATAGACTTCTAGAAGCATTGGTAATAACAATGATGGGCAGTCTGGAAGGTCGAGCTCTTCAATAACCAAAATGGAAGTTTGCCATAATTCAAAAAAAAACTTCAAAAAATTCGAAAATTTAATTTTTTTAATGTGTGAAATGTAAACATCAAAAACTGCACATTGCAAATAGTTTGGAGATAAGGAAAAATCATATGACAACATTAAGAGGATTTTTCAGTTAAGTGTAACAAAACTTTTGAGCAACCTAATATTTTGTTATTGGTACGGAAGCGTGGATGTTGACTTATTTCCGAAAGCAATTGAAATGTGTCTGGTGCGTCCGTACAAAGCTGTTCGACAAACAGTGTCATAAAAAAGAGCGATTATGCGGAATGCTCATCACTCCATTTATTATTCTTAGTGAACTATACTTGTGAGCGCACATTATTCGCACCTATTTGAGAGGAGCATAGAATGCGCACATGCCTCTTGCATGCGGGGGGTATAGTTGATAAACACAGAGTGGCACATCACATAAATACGTTGACTACTCGGTAAAGACACGAAGGAAAGAAAATTTTCTCAACAAACAGTACCTTTTCCAAACTCAGACACTCAGCCGTGCAAGTGTAAAAACATTTCTGGGACTCAGTCAGATCTTCTGCGTCAACTGCAATTGGAAGCAATAGCAGAATCAACATCGCGTGATGCGTGAAAAACTGGAATATAGAATTTTCAAACTGGAATTCCGCACGAAGTGTGAGGAGAGAGTGCATGAAGGTAACCAAAGCAGCATTGAAAAGAGAACTACAACACTGTTAGCCAACTTGGGGAGGCACGCATACTAGATAAACTAAAAGTTTCAAGCATTAACGGGCGGCCTGCAGAGATTTTCTGAGTTGCACGCATTCTAAAAATGAAGAATAATCAATAAAAATGTATGCGATCAGATCACATAGACGCATGGTTCACCTCAATGTTTTCTGAGATAGTCAAGAAACAGCAACATTTGAGATGATTCGGAAAGAAGAAGCTCACATGCAAGCTGCTTTCCTCTTTTTGCAAAGAGAGGTTTAAAAATCAATTTGAGAAGTAACCTAAACAACGACAGCCTCTCCAGCAACTCTCAGTCAGTCTCTATTTGATGACAAGTCTAATCAATTTTCTGTGCGTGACACAGCAACACACATCCACCTGAACGGGTTTCAGATAGAATGTTCAATACACCAACTTCTATACACGGCATTGGCCTACAAAACGAAAACTTGAGCAACCATCCCTCTTCATAAAACTACTCATATCTTATGAGACTCGTATTTCAAGACCGTCCCACTTTTGTATTCAGCACTTTGTTGGATTAATACTCCATGGACATAATCCGGATACTCTATTGTAAAAATATCTGATGGAACTTTAGCTTCCCGCATGAAAGTTGCTGGATTGTGGAGTTGCACGACACTATCTACCCTAAGTTTGGTGAAGTACACATTCTACAGAGTAGCTAAAATAAATAAGTATATCCTGCAATTCAAATGCTATGACAGTTACAAAGGCACTCTAAGACAACAGAAGCGGGTAGACTGCAAGACTGGTTCAACATTGCATGTGACTCAGTCGTCTTAAATTGTGTGGTCATAGGGTTAGCCAGACTTTGCCGCGTACGTACAGAATATAAGTTGTAACAACCCGCTACGGTGTGGGACACTGCTTTGTTTGCTGTATTGCTATTGCTATGTTCTTGACTGCAGCATATGTAATCCGAGCTGCGCATGATTCGCCATCGTCGCCCGCTCTTGTGGCACCATCACAATGATATTTCTATAATTTCAGCAATTACGCAGCGTAGGCCACAAGCCCGTCTATTTTACTCCATGCAGTTAACTGATATGCCTAAATAGTAAGCACTGTTTGAAACAAGGATAAGGACTATTAGAAACAGTAAAAGCGTTATTTGCCACTTAGGGGGTCCGATCTTACAGACTCGTTCAGGAACGCTCTGTCTCTTTCAGGCTGGGAATGTTGCTAATATTGCTTGACTCGCCAAACTTTCCTTCCACCTCCTCCATTTGATGCGCATCCTGGTCTCTGCAGCTTTCCTGATGCGATTATCTCCTGAGGTTCTGATGTCGAAAAGCAGTAATATGTGTTGAGGTATGCAGTGCTTACCGCGAATTGTTGCAGTCACTTGATGGGAGATTGATCGACCAAGATAGCAGCACAGTTTGTGGCAATACAATGGGTTGCGTTTCGGTGCTGTCGCCTTCACCAGAGCCGAAGTCATTAGAATCTATCCCTTGCAGACGCCCGCAGAAGGCTTGAAATACTATTCGAGAGAAAGTCAATGGAAAAACCTAGTCAAATTTAAAAGAGTAGAATTCTCCTTAAGTAGAAATAAAACATAAGTCAAAAGACCGCCTATATGCAAAACTGTGCCTCAGTTTTCACTTATATGTGTCATTTGAACTGATCTCGTTTTGTCCGCTTGATGGCTACCGCCTCGCACCATTATTCGAGAAAAAATTTTTGCCCCAAACGAAAATCCTGGTGTACCCATGTTGATGGTAGTTAGATGAGAGTCTGCGACGCCTTAAATTGTTGTTTCTGGTAAACTACTGTCGAGTCATTCGTAACTTCATGCGTACTGCACACTGACGAACTCCAAGATTAGAACCTGCTCATTTCCACCTGTTGTTAAAATTTTGTCTGTTGTTTTTGTTGCATATATGTCAGTAAGTAAAACACGAATTTAAGGTTCGTTAGGCTAGAGAAGGTTTTACTAAAAGTTACTAGTAAGGGTGCCGTCGCTTGTCGCGCAGAGTGTGCACTTTCACATATTAAGTTAGAGATGACTCGAAGATAACTGCTTTAGAAGTCGTTTACCCTGCTCAATTTGAGAAATAGTAAGCCTAATTACATCAATAGAAATCTCAGATTTTCATCACTTGTCTATGATGAGTGCAAAGCAAGATCAACATGAATACATGAATATAATTTAGAAGAGCTTTTTCTGATGAATGTAGATGTCTTCTTTTTGATGGTATGAGGATCAATGTGGAGGTCCAAATACAGGGTGTCCCAAAAGTTGTGCCTAGGTCTTTCAAAAAGCTTCGAGTACCATTTTGTAGAGCTGGCTTCGATGTAGATTTTTATCGTATGTATAAAAATCCCCCTTCATTACTGTAGGATTACGGTAGGAACTTGAGAAGGTTCTAAGTGAAAAAGGTTCATATTTCACTCCTAAACTAGAAACAAAGCTGAAAGTTCCTACACAAGTTAAAAGATCGCTGATTAAGTTATGCCAGATATACCACAGCAATTAATCTGCTATCCGTCAAGAATCTGATTAGTCCATCTAGAAAGCTCCGCGAAAACGCAAAAATTTGTGTACTGAAAACAGCATGCATGAAAACCTTCTTACACAATTTTTTAGATTTTTTGGAAATTTTTACCCAGCCATATGCTGCAAGTTCCTACCGTGCTCCCACAGTAATGAAAATAAATTCTTAACTGGCTCCACACTGTGAATCTAAGTTGGAGCTAGTTTTACAAAATATGAAGCTTCTCGAAAGACTTTCAACAAGAGAGTTATTAACAGCTAAACAGTAGGCACATCTTCCTGGTACAGCCTGTATACTAAGTTGTTGCATAAGATTTGCCCTTTTCCAAGTTTAATTCAGTTATTGTGACTTTTTACACAACCTTTTTTCAAGAGTTTGATTTCGCTAATTGTGCAAGCTTTTGGCTATCAAACAGAAATACGATCTACGAGATCTACTAGAGAAAAGACAGAAGTTCAAGATTTTTTGCACAATATCTTCAATTTATCTGACAGGCATCTTAGCAACCATCAACAGACAGCGAAAATTTTAGAATAGCGCAGAGAGTCTTCAAAACCAAAGATTTTTTGAGCAAATAAAGAAGCCGCTTTTGCTTGCGCTGTAATGCGTGCATACGTGCCTTCTCAGACTATGTAATTTTTGCATTTGATGATGATGCAAAAAGATTGTTGACGGCTCCTGCTAGCTCTTGCTTTACTTCTCATCTATTTTCGCCACATCGATTGCTTTTGGCACAGGATGCTGTGGCGTGATCTATATGAAACATTACCTCTTGAAAATAAATCTTGCAAGAAAACAATTTTCACATGAATGTAAACTTGTGCGTATGCTAGCTTATCACACCTTTATTCGCTGACCATGTAAGGGCCCAACTTGGGCAAACGCTTTGTGGAGATTTCCTCAAAGGATTAGGTTGTTTAGAAGAGACTGTATTTTCGCCATCTGAAATCTTAGGCCGTATTCTCTCTCGTCAGACTGAGGATTTTATTGGAATCTAACATGCACCAGAAAAACTATGAAACGCTTTCTATTGATACAGAAAAATTCACAACCAAACTCGAAAATCTTCTAAAAACGCTTCGAATATAAGGCAACAAAGAACAGATAGAATTTAGGCAGCAAAACAGCGACTCACCAAGTGTGCTGTAATTATCGTCGACTCTAAAAATCGTGACGACGGTCTGCAGTGCGGCCAGTGCGCGCCGCACGGCACTGCCGCCTAGTGATTCGCCCAAATTCCGTGGAGAAGGTGAGTTCTTGTGTTTTTTTCTTTTTCTTTTTGCATCTTTTTTGCTTGCAGGAACTTTCATGGCTACCGCAGGGAGCCTACACTGCTGAGAAGTAAGATTGCCTTACAATAAAGAGGCAGTGCCGTGCGGCGCGCACTGGCCGCACTGCAGACCGTCGTCACGATTTTTAGAGTCGACGATACTCGATTTTGTATCCAAAACTGTTTAGCTCAAATGATCCTTCTTGCAGACTTATAAATATGTCATCATTATCAGTATATACTCAAAAAGGTCTTCGTTGCTAGTTCTGCTTTGTTGCAATTAGAATAAAATAATAGATATCGAAAATGGAAACATGATAATTATGATTTCATCGACTGTGACTCTTTTATGAACTAAATCTGCTCAAATTCTTATATCAACAATAAGATTGCATCTTGGAAGCGAAATCAGAGCCTTGACTTTAAGATAAGACAAGTTAGTTTCTGCGAAGTAGTGTGTTTTGTCCTAAAAAAGAGTATCATTCTTGCTCAATACAGGGTCCATGTCATTTTGTGGAGCTGGCTACAACTAAGACTTCCAGCATGGAGCAAATCACCTATCGCACTTTATTCTTGTAATGTTACGTTAGGAACTTTGAAGAGGGTTTTGAACCATGAAGCTCATGTATTGTGTCAGAATGGAAGCGAGGCAATCTGAAAAAACACCCACAAGGGGCTAATTTTGTTCATTTTAGGTGTGAGGTCTACATCTCATCATAATGGTTCTTTACAAGGGAAGGACGATCGGTCGAAGTGGCCTTTTTGGATGAGCCGTATACTAGGAAACCCTTTTTGATAAGGCAATCTCAAAACTACTTCCGCTTTGCCGAACGGTTTTGTGGGGGAGCTATGAGGCCATTTTTCTCCTGCGCAGCCGGCGCACCACCTTCTAACGAGCGAGGCGCTAAAAGCATGCATCGAGTGTGGTAGTGGCGCAGTGGAAGACAGTGGATTGTGAAGCAGATGATCGAAGTTTCAGATCCTAGGCTGGCCTTTTGTTTTGCCATTTTGTGAAAAGTCTATTGGGTGACAGTAAATAAGAAATACTCATTGCTACGCAGTTGAAACAAGCTATCCACTGCAAAAGGTCACTATTTCTACACTCTACTATAATCCTCTATAATCGTTTACGTTTTATCTGAGGTGCACGCGCAAGAAGCTCTTCGGCTTTGAACATTTTGTGGTTGCACTCCTGTTGATATATCATTCAAATCCATTATTGTAGCATCAAAATCCTCACAGATTTACATATTGTAGAAGATTATAGCTGATTGTGAGAATAGTGACTTTTTGCAGTAAATAGCTTGTTTCAGCTGCGTAGCAATGAGTATTTCTCACTGTCACCCAATAGACTTTTTACAAAACTACAAAACAAAACGTCAGCGACAGAATCCGAACCTTCGACCATCTGCTTCACAGTCCGCTATCTTGCTACTGCATCACTCCGCACCCGCCGCGTGGTTTTAGCGCATCGCTCATTAGTAAGTGCGCCGGCTGCGCTGGAGGAAACGGCTTCATAACTCTCCCCCCCCCCCCCCTCCTTCCCCCTACAAAACCGTTCGGCAACTAACGAAAGTAGTTCTGAGATCACCTTATCAAGAAGGGTCTCCTAGTATACAGCTCATTCAAAAACGCCGTTTCGACCAATCCTCCTTGTCTTGTTAGAAATACAATCTGCACCAATCCCAACCAGGCCAAAATTGGCATGGCGGGAGACCGCGTCGCTAGGGTTTTGCGGTCACGCCCATAGCCTGCTTCTCTGCCCTCTCTTCAATCTTTTTGCTCTCTCCGACAGCGCGCACATGCAGCGCAGACGCTAGCGCTGCGAGCGCGCAAATTTAGGCCGACGGTTTGGCCTGATCCCAGTTGGAGCAGACTGTATGCCAGGTAAGCAGTCGCAGCCGTCTCAGATAATCGCTGGGGGCAGCGGCCATGCGATTTATTGGCAAGCGGGCGCCGGAAAAATAGTTCGCTGATTCCTTGCGGTCCGCTTGCAGATATATGGGAGAATTCTGGCGAAATTTTAGACGAATGCTCGGAGAACAATTGCGGCTTTTTTATAGAATAGTCGCGAGGCAGTGACCGCATTCTCGCGTACTCTCCGCGAGAATGAGCAAAAATATTGAGGGCCGCAAGGTCCTTTGTGAAGAAGCGCGCAGCCCGTAGATACCTTCCGCTGGGAGAAAATACCCCAAACTCGGGTAACTGTACCATCGATGGCACCTCTTTAGCGTTACCTTTGCTCAGTACGCTCGAAACTGCGTAAGAAGAGTCCGAGAGCCTGCTAGCAATACAGCATTTTCTGCAAGCCTCGGCAAATAATTTCTTCCAGCGAGCGCTAGACAAACTTTCAGCAAGCGCCCGGACTCTTTTCACGCGGTTTTGGGCGTACGTCGAGCAAAGGTGGGACTCTATGTGGCAACGGTGTCATCGATGATTTGATTACCCCCAAAGGACCGTGATCCCTCAATACTTTTGCATATTTTCGCGGAAAGTATGCGAGAATGCGGCCAATGGGCCGCAACTTTCCATAGAACGACCGCGATTCTCCGAGCCTTCGTCTAAAAATTGGCTAAAATTATTCTAAATTTCTGCAAGCGCACCGCAAAAAATCAGCCTATTTTTCTGGTGCCCGCTTGCTCGAAATTCGCATGGCCGCCTGCCCCCAGCGAT